CTGAGGATCGGGGAGCAGCCAGCCTGGATGATGGGCAGCCCATGGGACGGTAAAGCAGAAGGCTGGTCTTGAGCCACATCTCTTTGGGGGCAGAGTTCTTTGTCCTTTCCCCCTTATTTGGTTACTCTTTTCCCTGCCGATACCCAGGGCATCTGAGTGACATGGGTGCCCGTGATAATAAGAGCTATTATTCCCCAGCTCCTACCATGCCCAGGCATGGTTCTAAGATTTGCACATCATCAACTCATTTCAGTCCTCCCAGCAGTATTGTGAATTGGTCTCTATTTCCATCCCTACTTAATAATTAGGGAAGCTGAGGCACAGAGAGATTAATTTGTCTAAGATCACACAGTTCATAAGTGGGATTTTAACTCAGGATTGTCAATTCCAAAGGCAGTATTGATTCTGCTGTTTCTGCCCAGTATTCAAAATGGCACTGAGAAAACGCTTGTGCTGCCCTGAACAAGTCACCTCACCCTCCCGGCCCTCTTTCCTCATCAGTAGGAGGATGGTGATATTGTCAAGCAATTGCCCTGAGAATTCATCAAGGGCACTTTGCAAAGTGCTCGGATGAGGAGTGAGAGCCAGGAAACATCTGCGTAGAGGTGGCCCGGGCGGGGGCTGGTACCAAAACCCCTGGGTGCTGAGATGTTCCCTGAGGGTGCCATGGATAAGGACAGATAGGATGGCAGAGCGGTTCCCAGAGCTGGGCATGCTGACGAATGAGGCCTTGGCTTGTTCCCACGGGTGATGGCAATGGGTCTTCCTCCTTGTCTCCCAGGACTCAGTGCCGAATTTTCTAAGATAAATTAAATTAAGCAAGAAAATAAGGAAGTCCAAATTTCATTAGCATTTCCGAGGAGAAGGAATCACTCTGGTAGATGAAACCCCCAGGCCCCCTGTAGCTTTTTCCCAGCATCTAACTGCTTCATTCAGCTTCTCACCAAACTTGGCCGCTGGCTCTTTCCCAGTGTCCCAGTCCTGGCCCCGAATTCCGTTCTGAGTTCCTGAGTGAGGCGGTTGGGCTACACCAGCAACAGGCAGCCGTTCCTCTGGGAAAGCATCTGACCTGGTCACCGTCTTCCCGCTTCTAAGACTCAGATTTGGTTTTGGTTGGTAGAAATGTTTCCTTAGCCTGGATGGACAAATAGATCCATACTGACTCACAGCTTTTCTAGGTGACCACGTTTCTAACAGCAAAGCCTGATCCCAGAAGAGTTTAGAGCATGTGACTTCCTATTTTTGGGAATGACGGGAGCTTTGAGTTGCAAGTGACCCCAGACTTCATGTAGTTTGACCCCTGTTGACATCTGAGTCTTTTCTATCCCATTCCCAGCAATTGGCTGTCCAGCTTCTCTTTGGATGCCATCCCTGATGGGGAACTCACTGTATCTCCAGGTCAGCTCAGATGGAGAGGGCAAGTCTTCAGTGTTCTCACAGCCACACTATCTGCTCCAGCAGAAACTCACTACAGTGAAAATCAGGACCAGGGAACTCTGACCATCCACTTAACTAATCCCACGAGGGGCTCAGCAGTGACCCCTCGGATGTCAGGTCTGAGGGGCTCTTGCAGTTCATCCGCTATGGCCGCTTTACTTTGTAGAGGCGAAAGCAACTCCCCTAGAAGTGATCACCAGTGACAGCGTCTTCCTCTGATTATACTAACAGCTAACACTGGCTGAGCCCGTATTACATTCCAGGAGCTTTGATGATTGCTTGAAGTTGCATGATTTCATTTAATTCAAGCCATTATTATTAGACACTTACAAGGTGGGTATTACTCATTTAACAAATGAAGTGACTAAGATTCAAGGAGGTGCAATAATTTGTCCAAAGCCGCAGAACCTAATTCATGGCAGAGGTGGGACTTGAACCCAGGCCTGTCTCAGCTCTACTGCTCGACTCTTGGTGCTACATCCGGCTTCGTGGAAGTTAAGAGTGTTGGATTTTCTTCTGTGGAAGAAATAGATTGGGACTTATTATCGGATGTAAAGATGCATGTCAGGCTCTGAGTTCATGTACAATGTTGAGCTTGGGTCTATGCAAGTCAGAAAATGAGGGGAAAATATATCATTGAATGATAGAAATCTGGTTCAGTTGATAATTTGCTGCTTGTCTACACATCTAGCCAGTTTCTCCCTAGCTGGTTTGTATGTGTAGTTACAGTCTGAAGGCCAGAAAGGTACCTGTTATTCTCATCAGGAGACTAATTTGTTTCATTTCCTGACTCATTTGATCTCCAGGTGAGATCATGAGATGTAGGAGATGCTTAATATTTAGTTTACAAGCGCAGAGCTCCCAAAAGTTTTTTGTTTTTTTAATTTGGAATGCGAAATTACTGTTTAACTGGAAAAGAAGTTAACATGATCTTATTTAAAACAATGGAAAGAGCTTTTTAGCAATTATTTAAAATTAATTTTCCCTAAGGCTAAAACTTCTGTTAAATCAAAGCTACAACTTCAGAATTTAGCTGTGGGAATTGATCTATTATGGAGAGACCGCCTTTGGGTACTTGAGTTTTTCAGTGCGGACTTAATTAAGTTTTAGAGCATCCCAAGGCACTTGTCAAAGCTCTCGTGTCCTCTCCCATCCCTTCCCAAAAAAGGCAGGAGAAGAAGTTGGCAAAGCTTCTGCATTTCCATTTGGTTTCTCAAACAAAATCTGCTGGGTTGGAAGGTGGGATTTCTTATTAGCTTGAGGCTGTTTGGCTAAATAATTTTTCGCCTTGTCCTGAAGTCATATCACCCTTTGCTCTTGCACCTGATGGAGCCGCCTTTCAGAAAAGAGAATCTCTTGCATGCAGAAGGCAGAATCTCCCTTTGCGCCTCCTTCTGCCATCTTGGAGAGAGCTTTTCACCAAAGCTCCATGTCCCTTTTCACACAGGGCTGGTGCTGCTGGGCTGGGGGCACAGTGGTTCTGACCAAGGGCTGGGGCCTCCTTTTATTGCCATTCTGGTGACCTGGAACAGATTCAACAGATTTGCATGTGCAATGAATACCCACTGTATGTACATTTATGGGTATTGATAGCTGTTTCCATGAATCGTTGGACTCTACAGATGTATATTCATTGGGTAACCAGGTAAGAGTGAAATTGATAAGTCAAATGGCAATTTGGTTTAATAATTGTGATATGCATCAAATTGCTGTCTCAAAAGACTGCATCAGTTCAAACTCCCACTAAGTGTTTCTTACTCTATGGTCTGTTTCCCCCATACCTTTGTCAACACTAGGTAATATCAGACTTTCTCATTTTTGCCAGTCAGAAAAGTGAAAAGTGGTGTTGGGTTGTTTAAACTTGTACTCCCTTATTTAGGAGTGAGGTTGAAAATTTTTTCATGTATTTATTGGTCATTTGTTTTTATTTTTCTGTGGACTTCTGGGCAGGAGTGAGGTTGAAAATTTTTTCATGTATTTATTGGTCATTTGTTTTTATTTTTCTGTGGACTTCTGGGCATGTTCTTTGCCCATTTTTTGGTGTGTTTTTATTGAACTGTAGGAATCACTGACCTATGAAGTTGATGTGTTAAAATTTCATGTGTTAATATTGATCATCTCCTCCTGGCTCCTCTCTCCATGACACATGTGATGTCCACTGACCTGAAATTAAAACAGGCAGAGGAGAAGTCTTTGGTGTCCCTTACCTGCACACTGCCTTTGAGACTTGTCTGTAACGATGAGAATTCAGTGTTCTTGATGATCTCTGCTTCCAAAGGAAACAGACTATCAAGAGATGGAAAGACTTAAAACAATCATCTGAGGTGCTCTGAAACCAAGCCATCCTGGATCCAATCTGCTATGATAAGAATGCGATCCATATCAAAAACCCCTTCCTTTTATCATTCTAGTCCAGCTGGAAGAAATCATTCCTGGTCTTAGCTGCTTGGGATAGCTAAAAAGTGTAGCCTTAGAAGCAACCTTGCTTTATACCACCTTAATCATTCCTGGTGTTTAATATTCAGTATCACATATTCTCCTGTATTCTGAGCAAATCAGACCATAAATAAGATGTGTGACCTGCAGCTAGCTGAAGATCTTTGTGCTGCTTACTTGAATTTGGAGAGCCACCCATGTGCCCAATGGTACCAGCAGGAGGATCCTTTATTGATTTCTCAATTGAGTATGTTTCTCAATGTATTGTGATTGTCTTATCACCTGCCTCACCCAATTTGCCTGATGGAGACACATATATCCTTTAATTTGATCATCTTTATGTGTTCAGAACAGGAGATATGAGTACCTAATTGAGAATTGAGATATTTGGATTTCTTAAACACACACACACACACACGCACGCACCTGATTCTTGCTGTGTGCTGTGTCTGTGAATGCATTACTGACTCTATCCTTGTCTTGTCTGTCAACTTCTCTGTTGTTTGGGAGAGAATATTTAATGAATTTATGGCATTTGTGATGTAAGGCACTGATGGGAAAAAATTCACTGTATTCTTCATCCCTACTCCCTGCTACTGAAAACTAAAGATGAAGAGGAAGTATTGCATGGAGCGAGAAAAAAAGAGATATTAAATACAGAGGGACAAAAATAAGAATTACAGCTGGTCACTCATAAGAAACTGTGTAAGCCGGAAGACAACGGGTTTGGGTGGGGGGGCATCTTTAAAGTGCTGAAACAAAATGGCACATTTGGAATTCTGTACCTAGTGGGGAAAAAGTCTTTCAAAAAATGAAGGGGAAAAAGAAGACTTTTTAAGACAAACAAAAGCTGGGAGAATTCATTACCAGCTGACCTGCACTATAAGACCAGACAAAGTTTGGTGTTGGAAGGCTCATAATTGTTCAGCTTGAGGTTCTTGAAGATTTTTGAATGTGTGGTTTGATGTATTTCATTATTTTTGGAATTTTTTTTTGGCTATCTTCTCAAATATTTCTCCTACCCTATTATTTTTCCCTTCTTCTTCTGAGATTCTAATTACTCATGTAAGAGCTCATTTGATATTGGCACACAGCTCTTAGATGCATTCTTCCCGTTTTGTCTTTTTTTTTTTTTTTTTTTCCTGTTTCTGTTTCAGTCTGGGTAATTTCTATTGACCTATGTTCAAGTTCACTGATTCTTTCCTTGGCTTTGACTAGTCTTACAATGAGCTGTCAAAGGCATTCTTCATCTCCATTACAATGTTGTTTATTTATAGCATTTCCAAATGATTCTTCCTTAGGTTTCCATCTCTCTGCTGAAATTCCCCATTTTTTTCCTGCATATCATACACTTTTTTCTATTAGACTCTCTAACTTATCCATCGTAGCTATTCTAAATCCCTTCTCTTAGACATCTGAGTCATCTTGGAATCTGGTTCTGTTGATTGCTTTGTTTCTTGACAGTTGTTTTTTGTTGCTTTTTTTCAGGGGTTTCATAATCTTTGATTAAATGCTGGACATCCTGTGCAGGACAATAGTATGAAGGTAGGTAATATTTATTGCTGGAAATGGGCACACCTTTTTTCTGCTAGGCTTTATGTGTAGGGTTTAGAGTTAATCTAGTTAGCCAAACTGGTTTTTGGTCTTGTTGTTGCCATGGTGACCTTTAGTGCTCTAGTGGCTTTAATTTCCTCTAGCTTCACTTTGTGCTTAGGGTAGAGGTTTTTCTCAATGTTCCTGCTCCATCCTCAGCTTTGGGCCTTCCCTGTGCAGCTCAGAGAGTGTCTGTCTTCATGTTCTTGCTTGCCCTCAGCAGTAGACTGCTATTAGTGGTGATTCAGTGCCTCTCAGTCTGAATAGCCTGCTAGTGGGAGGAGCAGGGTGTTTTTTGTTGTCCTGATCCAGCCTCAGTCTTAGGCAGGTTCTCTGTGTCCCTTCCTTTTGGCATTTGAGCTTTCTCAGTAACCTTGCCCCTCCTCCCTGGCGGCGAAACTCTGCCATGTACTTCAGGCTGTTCTTGTGCTAAAGAGAGTTTCCTGTTCTCCTCCCATGGGGGCAGAAGACCTCTAATCATCTGGACCCTAGATGGTTTCCTGCCCCTCCTCAGAAGTATAGGTTTTCATCTTGTACTCTTTCCCCAGTTACAATGGGTTCCCTGGGGTGACAGGATTTGCCCTTCCCCTAGTGGCTTAAGGCTACAGGGAAAAAGGTTCTGGACAGGGCTTTATGTTTTTTCCTGTAGCATCAGCTGCTCCTACCTTCATGACAGCACCAGTGAGGGAACTTTCTCTTGTTGTCCCACCTGTCCTCTTTCTTGAGAGCACCTGGTGGAAGTTCTTGGAGAAGAGTCTATGAATATGTGTGAACTCCTCATGTGCCCGTGGTTTCAATTGTGTCTGCAATTCCCATGCTAGCCCACACTCGAGCTCCAGTGATTTATTTAAAATTGTAGCTTTATTCTTCTTACACCAGGTATGTCTTCCTCCCACACTCTGTCACAGAAGAACCAGTGCCCATATTGTCTCTTCTCTGAAGATCCTGCTTTTCTTAGATTTCAGGCCCCTTTGTTGCCTTGAAACCTCAGCTTTTTGATGGGTTTAGGAAAAGTTATAATTTTGGAGTTCGGCTGGCTTCTTGTTGTTCTCAGGGTAGGGAAATACTATTTCCAGTTCCTCAGCATGACTCAGCAGTACTCAGCCTCTCTAGAGCTTTATGCTTATGCACCCCTCTCATCTGCATGTTCCTTGGGGAGCCATGTCTTAGTTATTGATGTACCCTCAGTACTTGGCATGAAGAGGGTATCACTAAATGTGGAATGAAATGGGCTTTGCAGCTGGCAGCCATGAGGTCAGTGAGGCAACTAGAACTGTTGGCAAAGGGAGGGTGTTCCAGGAAGGACCAAAAACCATTGCAAAATTGTCGTTGGAAACTTTTGTGCCTCAGATTCCTGTATCTGTGCTCATTTACACTTGCCCTCCCTCACAGGCCCTTCTCTAAAGTTAGGATCTAATTTGAGGCCATATCTGTCAGAGGGGAATGGATGACTCTCACTTAGAGACTCTATCAAAGCTTGAGGACCCAGAGAACTTTGATTTATATATCCACCAAGTTTTTATTAAGCTCCATCTTTTTGCCAGGCACTTCTAGGTGCTCCTTGATCCTAAGGCCATTTTGGGGGCTCTAAATTAGTCCAACTGGGTCTCTATGAATTGGAATAATCTAGCTCAATAAACAACCTCAAGTTATCAGTGGCTTAACCCAATCAACGTTTGTTTCCCATTCATGGCAGAGTCCAATGCAGGCATCTGTGACAGCCTCCCAGGCTCTTTCGATGTTGAGCTCTTCCCTCTAATAGGGCCTCTCCATGCAGTTGGTTGATGATTAAAGAGACCATGGAGAAGAAACACCTACTTCTTAACCATAACAACACAGAAATGAAACATAATGGTTTTATTATCTTATTGGTGAAAATTAATCACCTCGTCCCCTCCTAGATGAAAGAGAAACTGGGAAACACAGTCCCTCACAGAGATACTGTTTTTTGGCAGCAGCTTTATGCTCTAGAAGGGGAACAGCAAACTTTGCAGATGGTTGCTGTCTCTGCCATAGTCTTGGAGAAATTGTATGGGCTGATCAGTGCTGTTGATTGGTTGGTTCTACCAAGGATTAGGTCTTGAAAACACTCCATAGAAATGCTTCACAACTACCCAGAGCTAGGAGATATTTGAAGTGTGACCTTGGGAAGTTGAGAGTGTGAGATGGGGGAGACTTGGGGTGTGAGCAGGAGGATAGGTAAAGTGTAAGTTGGGGAGATTTGGGAGTATGAGCTAACCATTTCCCATGCTTTGGTTAGGCCGTGTGCTAGTTTGTCATACCAAGTGCAAATTCTTCTGCCTGCCACTTAAGATCCTTCTTAACCTTTCCCAACATAGGCTTTCCCCACTACCCTGCTTGTTCCCTCTGCTTGCATTACATACCTCATCCTCTTCCTTACAGAGCAGATCAATATTCATTCATTCCGTCCATTCATTCATTGAACATGGTGCCACTCTCCAGAGAAGAGCATAAGAAAAAATAAGTGAAGTCCCTATCCTCCGGAAGTTACCTTGCTTATGTGCTCTGACCTTTTCAGAATGAGCCCTTGCTGGGAACTCAAAATGCTGATACCAGAAAACTTCCTTCCATGGGGAAATATCCTTTCAGTACCCTGCCTTTCCCTGAGTCAATCCTTACTGTAGATTCTCTGATCTGGTTCTGGCATCAACACAACATAAGAGCTCCTTCTATAGCTTTCCAGCAGTAGCCATCTAGTGTCTGTTAGTGATACACCAAGGTCAGGGGTTTCACTACTTCCTGAGGCATCTGGTAGCAAGAACTAAATCTTGTTTCCCTTTTGGTCCTACCTTGGTCCTCTGGGGCTACACAGTACAAATCTGTCCCTTGACCCACAGGGGAGATCTTCAGAGATTGATGGGGTCTTCTCTTCAGAAAGGTCTCTCACCAGATAACCCCTTCTTGGTCTGAGACCCTGCTCATCTCCAGTTCTATTAAGTACTCTGTGGGGGTTCTCCAGCTTCCCTGCCCCAAAATAACATGCCCGTCGCTATCCTCAGATGCATCTGTTCACAGACCCCTGTCCCTGTGCTGAGTGATAACAAAGCACCGTGTTAAAATACAGCCTGACTTGATCTGATAAAGCCAAAATTGAGTAGGAGATGACTGTGAAAGACTCCTTGTAGATACTTTGCCCTCTTGCTCTTGATAACTTTAAGAAAGATGGTGCTTACATTTGAGCATATTCAGAATATGGGCTTGTAAAATGTAAAACTGAGTTTTCTAGAAGTTTTAAATTTGTTTTTCTCCCTCTGTTTTGTCATTTTGAGCATTATCCAAATAACATTCTTTTAGGAAAAAAAACTTGGAAACTTCATAAAATATACTTTTATGCTGTAGTGGGCAGTAAAAATATGGTATCTGTTTAACTGATTATAATTCCATGGGAAATGTGTGTGAGCAGCATTTTAAAGCTCTTGCTTTGCCTTTGGTTTCTCTTTGTGTCCCACTTGAGTAATTTCCTCTCACATCCTTCTGTCCCTGGCCTAGAAGCCTGGTAAATAAGCAAGCCTCAGAGAGATCTAGAGAGCCAGCAACATCCTGGAAATCTGATGCCATGAGGTTAAGCACGAAAAATGCTCTCTTTCCAGGAAGGAATGACTGAATCAGAGCAATGACCTTGGCTTTCAATTAGTTCTCGTCCAACTTTTCCCACTCGTTTCCTCTATGCCCCCCACCTCCACGTGCCCCAGGCTGTGGAGGGGCTGGGCCTGCCCCCCGCTGTCCTGCTCAAGTCCATCCTGCCTTTGGCATGTGCCTCGGGACTTCACGTGTCCACAAAGCTGAGTTGAGCCAAGCTTCCTGTCCAGCTCCGAGAAGAATGCCTGTCAGGAAGCTCAATTATTTCGAGAATGTGAAATACAGTATTTTAATGGAGCCATTTTTCATGTCGCTCTAGAAAAAGGATGTAGAGTTTGTTGTTGGTCTATCTGCAAATGAGTCTTGTTCACACCAGAGCACCTTCCTGATTTCGACACAACAACCTCTTGGTGCTTTTCTCGCCACAAAGCAATTTTGGCTGCGGTGTTCATCTCCACAGGTGCAGTCCGGTGAGACAGGCTATCGAAATGGAGGCAGGGTTGTTAGCAAAGGGCCCTGTCTTTGGACTTCATCCCCCAGTTACAGTGCCAAGCCAAGCTACAGCAAAACATCAGGCATGGTGTTGAAATTTATTTCTAGATCCTGTGCCTGGTCTTAAAATGAAACCATGATGTTAGCGGCAGGGCAGGAGAAACTCGTGCCTCTTGTGCTATTTGGCTTCCACACAAATGGATAAAGTATTTGATAACATTTTACTTTTGGTTGATATTCTTTCCATGATAAACACCAAACTCTCTCCACTTAGTAGCAACAGAGAGTTCCTGGCACTATAGACCATTGCCAGGAGTCATACTCGGTGATTTTCTCTGTGTAGGTTGGACCACTGGGTCCAATTCTTTGTTGAAATAGGTTTATATTTATCACAATAATGATAAATAAACAATTAAAAAGACAAAGTAGAGGGTATAATTCACATCTCCAGGCTACTGAGCTCCAAATACTTCACTACTTTGGAATTAAAAATAAAAAAAGAACACACACCTCATGTAGCAGTCATTGACTTTTCCAGATGAAACTGGACTATACAAACATACTTTGAGTATGTGCGATTTCACTTAAAGCATGTCTCCTGGCTCAGAGACCTAGTGCAAAACCCAATCAGTTCAGTGAAATGAAAAATCCTTACTCTTTGATCACTTTGTGAAAGAGAGGTCAGTCTTATTTGAAGCCAGAAAAGAAATGCTTTTTAGAATCACAGTTTCCTGTGCAGTGAGTCTTAGTATTACTTCCCCGGGAAGTAAAGGCAGGGGAAGGGAATGTGGTAGGGAAAAGCCAAGCGACGGGACTGAAGTTTAAGGCTCTTTGAGACTCACCTTCCTGTCTCTTACATTGGCTCAGTGCCAGCACTTCTGTCTGCCTGTCCACCTCCGGCGAGGGGAGTGTGGAGGACCGCGTAGACTGGGGACAAGGGAAAGGGAGAATGTGAACACGTATCCTGGAGTCGGGTGTGTTTAGGTGCATGTTTTGCAGATGTGGAATAGGTTGATAACATTTTTTTGACTTTGAAAATGCCTTTGACCCCCGGTGCATAAGAAACTGGCTTTACCAGCTTGGAAGATGAATGTGACTATATCTGTTAGCAATGTTCAAACGAATCACTTCGGCACCCCCCCACCCCGCTCCCGCTCCAGGCAAATTTACAGGAAGTCCCATCCCACCTAGGACTTCCATTCTGGTATGGTCTGGGGAATTCTCGGGCACTCAGCCTGAGGGCCCTGGTATGGCCTGAAGATGGGAGGGAAGAACTACCCTACAGGGTTCTGCCTGAGGAGCAGGGTTCCGCTCCTCCTCAGTCTTATGAGCCAGTGGCCAAGTGAGGGGGTAGATCTACTTGGAGTCCTTTCCTGATCTCAGACTGACCTTCTACTCACGTGGATCTTCTAAAGAAAGGGTAAAGGGTTGCTTTGGGGCTCTTCCCTCCCACCCCCCAGAGGCTCCTTGACCTCTACAAACCCCTTCCCAGAGGAGGGCAGTGGGGTGAAAGAGGGACACGCTCATGTTTGGTTTGGAAAATCTCCAAGCTGTGACCAATTCCAGGCTTAATCCTTCCCCACTCCCAAGTAGAATTCCATGTCCATGGTAAGAAGGTCTCATATGACGCAAGGAGAGATGCAATGTTTCCCTGTGTCACTTATTAGAGAATTCGAGGCTTGTGGCAAGTGCTATAATGCTCAAAATGTATTCCTAAGAAATTTACCTCCATCTCGGATATCTGCTCCAACGGGAGGAGACACCTGGTAGTGGTAATATTAATTTTAGGTCGGCTCGCCCAGGTATGTGCTACTAACTCAGAGTGTATATAAGTGTATATAACCTACTTTTTCACAGTATATATAACTACTTTTGTTTTTAGTGTATATAACCTACTCTGATTGCTACTTTTCCCCCCAAACATTTTATTTTAAAATTTTCAATCCTATAGAAAAGTTTCAAGAACAGTACAATGCTGTACACTTATGATATTTTTCTGTAATACTCCAAAAATTAAGACTAGTACAATGAACACCTATATATCCTTCAACTAGATTCACCAATTTTAATGTCTTACCATATTTGGTTTGTCTCTCTCTCTGCACACACGTACCCATTTACATATATTAAAATGTGTATATATATATATATATATATATATATATATACATATAAACACACACACTTAATGTTGTCTAACCATTTGAGAGTATGTTGCAGACATCATGATTCTTCTCTCTTTATACTATGTGTCTACAAAGAGGACATGCTCCTACATGACCATGATCCCTTTGAGGAAATTTAACATTGATCCCAAACTTGTCAGATGTATAATCCATAGTCAAGCTTTCCCAATGGCCATGATAGCTGGATTTTTAAAATATCTAGGATCCAACCAAGGATCGTACACTATATTTGGTTGCCATGCTCTTCAGTCTCTTTTTATTTGGAATAGTCCCCTTGACATGGTTTTTCATCTTTCATGACATTGACATTTTTGAGGTGTCTAGGCAAGTTGTTTTGCAGAATTTTAATGTGCCTGATTATTTCCACATGATCTGTTTTATGTTGGATATTTTCAACAGGAACAGTGCATGGTTGATATTGTTTACTTCACTGGCATCTCATGATAGGAGCAGCACGAGATGTCTGTCTGTCCCATTATAGGGGATAGTGACATGTGACCGTTCTGTTGTGGTGTTGTCAGCCAGATTTCTCCTCTGTGACTACTATATATTTCAATTGGAAAGGGTATATTGAGAGAACATTCTAAGTACTAATAATTTAAAAAAAAATACTGTTAATAACTGGCTCACATAATGGTCCCCTTTATCTCTTCTGTTCCCTTTTGTTTCCTGACAGGATTCCACAGCCATCCAAAGCACTGCTCTGGCAGGAATGCACGAGGCCGTTTATACAGCTGCCCAGAGTTGATAACCGGCTGGTTGCTTGTCCACATTGACTCACATTGGATCGAAAGGCCCTCATTACCCTCACTGGTTTAATGATATTCTCTGATTAAACTTGGCCAGTCTGCCAGCCTAGAGGGAGCCTCTGTGGACTTTTCCTGTCTCTCTCTGGGTGGGAACTGACCTGCTACTCCAGCCTCTTTTGAAAGAGGTCTGCACATATTTGCTTTCCCTTCTCTTTGGGATTACAGATGAGTAGATGAAAAGTACAACTCGTCTTCCAAACTAATCTCATAAACATGACACAACATTAAAAACACACAAAAAAGACAAAGGAGTTTACAATGAGGGAACTTACAATGTAGATGATTGGACTGGGAGTCAGGAGACCCAGGTTCAAGATTCAACTCTTGGATTCATAAACTGTATGATCTTAGGCAACTCCCATTACCTCTCTGAATTTCAGAATTATTAGCCCCAGAAATAAAATCCTATTTATGTCTGCTAGTGCACCAAACAAAAGAAACCAGATGAAGTTCCACTGAAACTGGAGGATCACTTCAGTGTATGTCAGAACACTTGCTTTGGGGGGCCCTGAGGAGCACCTCAAAGAGATAAATAATTGTATCTGTCAGGGTAGGCCTGGTGATGCTTTAGTAACAAATTACTCCCAAATTCAGAGACTTAATACAACCAAAACTTCTTTCTTATGTTGTATGTTCATAGAAGGATTGGTATGGCCCTGCTTCAGCTTGTCTTTACTCCATGACCTAGGCTGATAATAAAGCCCCTGTGTGGGACATTGCTGGTCTTATAGAAGGAACAGAGACACGGCAAACCATATCTTGGATGTTAGCGCTTTTCACTGGCCAAAGTAAGTCATGTGATCATGCCTGACATTACTGGGGAAAGGAAGTGCCATCCTCTTGCAGGAGGAGCATTATAGGGAGGGACAGTGAAATGTTGGCTACCCCCAGCACGAGCTATTGCAGAACTCATCCTTGAAAGCAGCTGAAAAAAAAGTTCAGTGATAGGCCTTTGGGACCATCGATGTAGAAATATTTTCTCAATATGTTAGGTCACCATAAAACCTTAAACAGATCAATCAATCAAATATGAGCTCTGACTATTAATCTGTAGTTCAGCTATTTCTCACATGGCTAAATTTATGTAGTGTGCTCCAGACCAGCAACAGGAGGGAAACACTGATTTCATGATGATTAAAGTTCTCCAAACAACAGTGGGGAGGCCAGCAAGTCTGGTATGTGGGGAGTGAAATACTGGTTCTGCGGATTTCACAGGTTTTCTGTGGGGCTCGGACATGACGTCATGTGTGATAAGACTGTAGGATATGATGGTGTCACTGTCAGCAGGAACTCCTGAGGAGCAGGGAGCAGAGTTTACTCACCTTCGAGTCCCCAGCACCTAGCCCAGGTAGCATATAGTAGAATCTAAATAAATACTGATGGAATGAATGACTAAATGAGGACAAATGTAAGGAAATTTGGTTAAGGTAAGAAAAAAAAGTCCAAATCCATATTTGAAAATGATGGTTAAACTCTTCCTATGAAGTCAGCATAACCTGAACTGACAAAAGTGATCAAGGCAGAAAAATTACAAAGCAATACTTCTTATGAAAATGAATCTAATAGCCTTAAACAAGGAGCTTTACTTATGGTAATGGAGTAGCTTGTATTGGACCAACCCTCCTGAGGCAAAAATTATACACTTTGAAGAAGCTATTTAAAAAAACACCAGTTGAAGTCACCTGAGAGCATACAGAAATTGGAGGGGGATTCACATTTAGAAGAAAGAGATGGCACAAGGTGAGCCATCATTTTTTAAGAAGTTTTTTATTAGGTAAAGAAAGGAAGAATATTAGAGAAAAAAACAAATGAGGGTAAAGGAAATTTTTAATTTTTCTTGTTCTTAAATGATATAAAATGTAACCATTTGTGTAAGTAGTAATAATAGCGATGTATTGGGTGGATATAATTCTGGAGAAGTGAAACAAATGACAGCTCTATCATAAGGGATGGGAGAGAAAAATTAGGAGTCCTCTGTTATAAGAGACCCATACACATACATGAGAAGTAGTATAATGTTATTTAAAGATATACTCAGATTAATTTAAAAACGTATGTTGCAAACTCTAGGGCAATCATTACAAAAATGTAATAAAGAAGCATATTTGATATGTTAAGAGGAGAGATAAAATGAAATCATATGAAATGTTTATTTACAATCAGAAAAGCCAGAAAGAGGGAGGGAAAAGACGGAACAAAGAACAAATGTAATAATAGAAAAGAGTTACAAATATGGTAGATATATTCATCCAACTATATCAATAACTGCTTTAAATGTGAATGGTCTAAATAGATCAATTAAAAGGTTGTTTGACTGAATAAAAAAAAAGACTGAACTATGTTACCTACAAGAAACCCACTTTAGATATAAAGACTCAGATATATTAAGCACAAACAGATGAAAAAACTATACCATGCTAATGCTAAATGAAAGCAAGCTGGAATGACTATATTAATTTCAGACAAAGCACACTTCAGAATATAGAAAACTATCAAGGATAAAAAGGGTCATTACATAACGATAAAGGGATCAATTCTCCAAGATATAACAATCCAAAATGTGTAGGCATCTAACAACAGAACATCAAAATATCTGAGTCAAAAGGCGATATAATTCAAAGAGAAATAGACAGAATCTACTATTACAGTTGGAGACTTCAACATACCTTTTTCAGGAATTGATAAATCAAGCAGACAGAAAATCAGTAAGGATGTAGTTGACCTGATGGCATTATCAATCAGCTTGATCTTATTGACATTTCTAAAATACTCCATCCAAAACCAGCAGAATTTACATTCTTCTCAAGCTTACATGGATCATTTGTGAAGATAGAGCACATCATGGGCCATGAAACACACCTTATAAGACAAATGTAAGGGAACAGAAATCATATAGAGTGTATTCTCAAATCATCATGGAATTAAATTAAAAATCGATAACAGAAAGACAGTTGGGAAAATCTCCAAATATCTGGAGTTTAAATAATACACTTCTGAATAACACATGGGTCAAAGAAGTCTCAAGAGAAATATTTTTAACCAAGTGAAAATAAGAATACAACTTACCAAAATGTGTGGGATGCAGAGGAAGCAGTGCTTATAGAGACATTTATATCATTGAATGTATATGTTAGAAAAAAAGATTTAAAATCAATAATCGAAGCTTCTACAGTAGGACACTAGAGAAAGAAGAGCAATTTAATCCTAAATCAAGCAGAAGAAAAGAAATAAAAATTAAAGCATATAATAAACAAAGTTGAAAACAGGAAATCAATATAGAAAATCAACAACATCAAAAGCTGGTATTTTGAAAAAAAATCAATAAACTTGATAAATCTCTAGGCAGACTAACCAGAAAAAAAAAAACTCCAATATTAGAAATAAGTGAAGCCTCATCTACTGATCCCATGGACACTAAAGTTTAATAAAGGAGTACAGTGAGTAGCTCTATGTTCACAGATTTAATAACTTAGAATAAATGAAATAATTCCTTGAAAGTCACCAACACCAAAACTCACACAGGAGAAATAGAAAATCTGAATAGGTCTGCTATTAAGGAAACTCAATAAAAAACTAATAACCTTCAAAAAGAAAAGGCACCAGGGCCATATAATTTTACTCGTGAATTCTACCAAATATTTAAGGATGAAATTATACCAATTTTTCCACTATCTCTTGCAGAAAATACTGATTCATTAATTTAAACAAACATACACTACCAGTGAAAGATGTTAATAATAGGGCAAATTGTGTGTGGGAGATTTTGATAGTGCCCCCCCAACAAAAATCACTTAGATATTTATCTAACAAAATATGTCCAAGATCTTATATGCTGAAAATTAAAAATTGATGAGGGAAATTAAAGACCTAAATAAATGGAAAGATGTACCACAGCTAAGAGTTGGAAGACTTGATATCATTAAGATGGCCATTCTCTCCAAAATGAACCCTAGATTTCTCACAATCTCAATCAAAATTCAAGTGGACTTTTAAAAAACACAAATTGGCAAGCTGATTGTAGAATTTATTTCAAAATACAAAGGCTTGGAAAATCCAATTTTTTTATTATGTTCAGTTAGCCAACATATAGTACATCATTAGTTTCCAATGTAGTGTTCAATGATTGATTAGTTGCGTATAACACCCAGTGCTCATCACCACAGGTGCCCTCCTTAATACCCATGAAAATCCAATTTTTTTAAAGAACAAAATTGGAGGACTTCCTACACTCTCCAAATTTATTTTGTTTTATTTTTTTAAAGATTCCTTTATTTATTTGAGAGAGAGGGAGAGCGTGCGCGCATGTGTGTGGGGCAGGGGCAGAGGGAGAGGGAGTCAGGCTCTATGAGCAACATGATGCTGGGCTGGATCTCACGACCCTGAGATCAGGACCTGAGCTGAAACCAAGATTCAGACGCTTAACCAACTGCGTCACCCAGGTGCCCCTATATTCTCCAATTTTAAAACTAACTATAAGAATGATACAGTGTCCTTCTGTGTCTCTAATTACAGACTTTATTTTAAAATCTAATTTGTCTGATATAAGAATTGCTACCCCAGCTTTCTTTTGAAGTCTGCTGGCATGGAAGATGGATCTCCATCCCTTCACTTTTAGTCTGGATGTATCTTTAGGTTCAAAATGAGTCTCTTGTAGGCAGCATATGGATGGGTCCTGTCTTTTTATCCAATCTGCAATGCTGTGCCGTTTTATGGGAGCATTTAGGCCATTCATGTTGAGAGTGATTATTGAAAGATATGAATTTATTTTCATCATGTTGCCTGTGAAGACGTTGTTTTAATAGATTGTCCCTGTAAATTTCTGTTGTATATGACTCTTGGGGTCTTTCTCCTTTTATAGAACCCCCCTTAATATTTTTTGCAGGGCCGGCTTAGTGGTCACATGTTCTTTCAATTTCTGCCGGTCTTGGAAGCTCTGCCTCTCTCCATCCATTCTAAATGACAGCCTTGCCGGATAAAGTATTCTTGGCTGCATGTTCTTCTCATTTAGTACCCTGAATATGTCTTGCCAGGCCTTTCTGGCT